GATACGCTATCTTTAACTCTGTTGTTGCACCAAATAGTTCTTAAACGTTTTACACCGCCCACCCTTCTGACTCCGCATTTGGTTTGAAGTGTGTTGAGCATAGCCGTCCTAAAACATGTCCGCTCTGAATCGATGTTGGAATATTCGCCTGGAAGGTTATTTAGTAGCTCTGCCATTTCTTGTTGGATCTCATCTTTAACCGCATTATCCTGAAGTCTACGGAAGTTGAAAACATCTGTGGTGACTATTTTATGTCTTGGCTTTCTGTACTCAGTGTTCTAATGCTATGTTGAAATCCATTTGTCATTATTATTACTATTAGTGCGCAGTTAAACAATGCTTGAGCTTTTTGAGGCTCCTGTCCCTAGACTGTTGCAGCGCGGCTGCCTCTACATGTTTCTACAACATTTTTTTTTTCTTATTTACCCCACCAGGACATCACATAAATGATAAACACCCGATGAAAGTGCCACCATGTAGATGAGGATCACCTGTAGAGAGGTCCCAGAAGACTCGTTCAGCCATTATACCATATTTATGGCCAGGGTATTTTGCGGTGCCTGGCAAGAGCCAGAGTAGAGCTTCAAATAAAAAAAAATGCATCTCAGAAAGGGATGAAATACAATAATATTTAATAACGTCCACAACATATGGTATGTTCTTTTCTATATCCACGTCTCAAGTCTCAATTCGAAGGGCAGCAACTCTTAAACAATCATTTGACTTCTGCTGGTACAACTTCCTGAGAGATTGCTTACCTTGACAACGTTTTGATTGGCTGCAAACAATGTGAACATCCAATCAGAAGCTGGTATTTGGTTGTACAAGACAGAAGAAGTGAAACCACGGTCGGCACTCAAAACTGTCGGAATTATTTTATTCTTTGATTGGTTTCTACTTTGTTATTAATTCACAAATAAATGCCTTTTGGAAGTGTTCCCAAGATTCTAACCCGGGTTGGCAGGAGCAGCGCGCTGACTGTTAGAGTAGTCAGCCAGCGGTTGTTGTGGTGGTATGCGATGCGTAGACCAAACTTTTCACAACATGAATAGGACACATTCTTATGTTTGTTATTGTCCTCTGCTTAGTCTCAGATCTCATCGTTTCCAGTTAAATTACATTTATATGTTATTATTACTGTTGTCATTTAAATTCACACACATATGTATGTTGGTGTTCAATATAAGTTATTAATTATTGTTATATAATTAACACTATTTTTCAGAAAATGATGTGTGTCTATTACTATTACTATTATTGGTGTTTGATCCATATTTTTATAAATTATTTATCTATATATGTTCATTGCTGCAGATGTCACCTGCCTACATTCGTCTCTCTGGTTGGCCTTTTCTTTCCAGTTGGTGACACCAAGTGTTGTTTGCAGGTCTGTCTGGACATAATCTCTCCATCGTCTTATTGGTCTGCCTTGTGTTCTACCGACTCTATGACCATTCAACCCCCTGGTGTATACAGTTTTTGGCTCTCCTTTCAACTCAGACCGTTAGCTGGAAAGCCGCCGATCGCTTGGTGGGAGTTCTCTCCCTTGGCTGCATTGCAAACACAGAGCGGAAAAGTCATGAATCAAATGACATACTTACCCATCATCATACGGTTGCGTAGGGTTTGGGTTAGGGATAGGGTTAGCGGCATTAGGGTTTGGGTTAGGATTAGGGTTAGGGGTAGGGTTAGATGTGACAGTTTTGACGTAGGAGTTCCATATACTGGTCGACAATCTGATGCTTGTAAGAGTGGCGCCACTGGATTTTTCCCAAATATGACGGCAATAGCGCGCGGCTAGTGCCTAATCGGTGGCGAATTGTCTGTTTGAGTAGCATCCACAGTCCTTCGATTGTTTGGGTGTGTATGTGACTGTGCGCGATTATTCCCTAACCCTACCCTTAACGCTAACCCTACCCCTAACCATGCAAATTTATCGGTCAGTGAGTCATACAGATCTGCAGGAGTTACATCTGTGGCAACTAATACCACGTTTGTATATATAAGGATATATTTACTTTAAAAAAAACCCAGATTTCCCCGAAGCGTCAAATAAACACCCAGATCTGGGGGAAACACCCAAGCATTGGCAGCCCTGTTGTTGACCTCACTGTCTTTTTTTATTCGTGACTTTTCCGCTCCGTGTTTGCAATGCAGCCAAGTGAGAGAACTCCCACTAAGCAATCGGCGGCTTTCCAACTAACGGCCTTAGTTGAAAGGAGAGCCCAGTTTTTACTTCTTTGTCATCTGACATACTTTTAAAATAACCCAACCATTCAAGTCTATTAGCTCTCATGATGCCAGTGATCAATTATGTCTTAAACAGATTATGAATTTCTTTGTTGCTTCGTACACTCTTGATGAGTCCAAAGATTCATTGTAATACTCTGTTTTCAAAAACCTTTTTTTTATTATCTCAACTTGCTGGAGCAGTCGAAGTTTGCACCCAAGTACTTATATGTTTCAGTTCGTTTGATTTTCATAATATCAACTTGTATATATCCTTGTCATTGAGAGTTAGAAAAAGAATTCTTGCTTGCTACATACATCCAGTTTTAACACATAGCTGTGAATCCTGGACAATCGGTAGGCAGGCCAAACAATTTCTGGAGGCCTTGGAGATGTGGTTTTACAGAAGAATGCTTAGAATACCTTGGACAGCCAAAAAAGAGCAAACAAGAGGTTTTGAAAGAGGCGGGAGCCTGAAGACAACTTATCACAGACATCAGAAGGAGACAGTCATCATTTTTCGGCCATGTTATGAGAAGAGGGAAAATAGAACATGTTGTGACCACTGGAAAGATATGTGGAAGGAGAGATAGAGGAAGACAACGAGAGAAGATGCTTGACAGTCTTGTTGCATGGCATGGAGGTGTGGGTTGCACACAAACTGATACATGCTGCAGGAGATCGCTCATAATGGAGAGGCATGATCGCCCACGCCAGTCGGCAAGGCACCTGATGATGATGATGTCGCCGGAGTTTATATCCTTTCCCTGTCTAGTTATTATCATGTATTCTGTCTTATCTTGAGTGATAAGTAGTCCCATTTTCTGAGCTGATTCTTTTAAGCCTCTAGTTCATTTTCTCTGATATCAGTGTCATCTGCATAACCAAGTATTCTTGAAGATTCTCCTTTAGTACACTCTTCTTTCAATTTCCTTATAATTTTATCCAGGGCCAAGTTCAAAAGAAGGGCTGACAGAGCATCACCTTGCTTTAAACCAGATGTTATTTGAAAAGGGTCTGACTTTCTGCCTTTATATATTACTATATTACAAGTGTCTTCCATACATAGTTTGGTAATTGTAATTAACTTCTTTGGTATTCAAAAATCCTTTATAGCATTCCATAAACTGTTTCTGGGTACACTATCATAGTCCTTTTTTGAATCCACAAAAACATTATGTACATCTCTTCTGTATTCCCAGTTTTGCTCTGCTTTTTGCCGTAATGAATATCTGGTCTGTTGTTGACCTGTTCTGTCGGAAAACCCGCTTGATAATCTCCCAATATGTCTTCGACGTATGGTTTAGGCTAGTTTAGCAGTACCACCGATATATTTATACGTGCACAAATTGGTGTGCTTGGCATGAGATTGAATATATATATATATCAATTTCTTGCCAAGCACACCACTTTGTGCACTTTCCTACACAAGATATCACTTATATCTCTTGCCAAGCACACCACTTTGTGCACTTTCCTACACAAGATATCACTTATATCTCTTGCCAAGCACACCACTTTGTGCACTTTCCTACACAAGAAATCACTTATATCTCTTGCCAAGCACACCTGTTCTTCTGTGTCCATAGTATTCTGAGAATTGTTCTGTAGCGTTTCAGCCCACAAGTCCCTGCTTTCTTTTGTAAGGACTGCGATATTATGTGACTCAGTATGACTGATATGTTGATACCAGAAAGATGCATGCTTTCAAAATGTTGACTGTGATGTCCTTGCTGATGCTGAACTATAAACTGTTAATGCTCTATAATGTTGACTGTGATGTCCTTGCTGATGCTGAACTATAAACTGTTAATGCTCTATAATGTTGACTGTGATGTCCTTGCTGATGCTGAACTATAAACTGTTAATGCTCTATAATGTTAATCTATCTGTTGAAAATATGAATCTGGTGTATGTCCAGAATGGTCAGGACACAAAAAAGGTCCTTTACTTTTACTTGCGCTGAGAGGAAGCTGTACCATATAGTCCTGTTTAGTATTTCTGTTCTTTGAATTTCTTTTACTATGTAATAATGTGCTTGACATCCATATTCATTGTTCATAAATTATTTTATCATAAAGCTTTGCCAATTTTTTTTTTTTTAAATTATTTGTGAATATTAAATATGCTCAGTAATGATATCAGAAAGTAATGTTGATGAGAAAATAGGAACATGATGTGTCAGCGGGTAATAATAATTGGTAGCAAAGTAAAATGTGCACATTTTTAAGATTAATGAGATCTTGGAATATTGTGACAGTAAATAAGGAAAATGGAACATAAGTGAACATTAGAAAAATTAACTGAGGTAATTGGAACATGTGAAAAAGAATATTATTGAAAAAAATGAGAACAAACTTTGTCAGCTAGTAAGGTTATTGGCAACAGTGGAGTATCTGACAACTGATAAACATGAATCAAGCTCAGGACAGATTCATTTAGTGTGGAGTTTAACATCAGTTGGCTTTGATAACCAGTTTAGACATATCCCCTTATTGTTACAAAATAACTATCTGACTGCTGTGAGCGGGAATAATTTGAGGCATTGAAGAAAAGGACTCCTCATCTGACAGTATAATGCTTGGTATATGTGAAATTCCCTAAGAGCAGCAGCAGTATAATGCTTGGTATATGTGAAATTCCCTAAGAGCAGCAGCTACTGTAGAATTAGTTTAAGCTAGTCATCCAAGTTTGATAAACCTCACAGTTGTTGTTTTTATTGTCCAGACCACGCTACACTAGAGCATCCCAAATGACCCGATTCTGCTGTCATGCAACACCAACTTAAAGTAAGTCAGTGTTGCCAGGTTTGAGAAGAATCTTTCTGCAGCTGAAAAACCTCCAGTTGATGTCATTTTTTAGAATCCTCAAGTCTTTTGTTATGATGCAGTATTCATTTGTTTTTCAATTGTATTTTTAAACATGAGAAAGTATAGTGTGAAAGCAAAAGGTCGCCCAAGGAAAATATTGATTGATGATAAAAAAGACACAGATTTTCAAATGACTTTTGCTACAAACCCCCAGGCACTTGTCTTCCCTCTCAACACCAAACCATCTCTATAGATAATCAGATCCTCTGGGCGTGAATTGTCCTGAATCAACAGTTGGACTTTCCACCTCCATAGTACCCGGTGGCCACTCTCTGCACTCCCCGCCCAATGTAATCATAATCCTCACAGGTCAGACTTTTCCTCTGGTACTCTGACCCACTCCTCTCCTCGCCTCATGTTCTCCAAAATGCATAATTGTCTTATTGAGTCTTCTGCATAAGCCATCCACAGTTTTCCCCTTTTTCAGCCTCTAACCCTTACCTGCAGCCAAAGCTTCATACAGAGGGTGTTCTTTGTTTGCAGCTACTCTGAGGTATGACTTAGTGTACAACACCTTTAGCCTATCTGCAATAGTCGGCAATGCAAGAATGTATCACATGCACACAATTAGGGTGTCTCTTGAACATCCCAGGATCACCCGTCTAACTTCATTCTGTATATGCTCCAGTTTCTCTATCTGACTTTTTGAGACAGTGAGTAACCCCAGTCTAAAATCAGTCACTGAAATGATTAAGTGCTGGTAAAGTGTGAACATCATTCTCTGCTCCATGTCCATTGCTGTCATAATGTTGAGTGCATTAAGACCTTTTTAAGCCTTTTTTGCTACCCCCTCTATGTGATCCGTGAAAGACAAACTTCTGTCAAAGGTGATTCTGAGGTATCGCAGTCTGCTGTATCTTTTGATGTCCCTTCTATTTATTTTGAGGCTTGGAACATCAGCTCTAACAATCCGGCTGTCCAAAGAACACCAAAGAACGGTTTCCTTATCAGGGTTGATTACAGCACTCATCTTTGTACACCAGTCGATCACCTTATCTACTGTCACCTGTAACTTTTTAGTTATATGACTCCAGTCTCTCCCCTTCCTATATATGAGAACATCATTTGCAGTTGTCAATAATCTGCCAACTCCAGATGTTTTCAGGTCCGTAATCTTGCTTGTAAAAATATTGAAAATTCAATGTACATTGAATGAAGTTCATCGGATCAAGTTATCAGTCAAGAGTTCCAGCTTCACAGCAAACATGTTGATGTATACTGTTATGACATGTTGATGTGTACTTTTTTGACATGTTGATGTGTAATTTTGTGCCATGTGTTGATCTGTAATCGTATGTCAAGTGTTGATCTATACTGTTATGACATGAGTTATTCATGTGTTAATCTGTAAGCTTATGTTAAGTGTTGATCTGTGTTTCTATGGCATGTTGATCTAAAATCTTATGTCAAGTGTTAATCTGTTATCTTGTGTCAAGTGTTAATCTGTTATCTTGTGTCAAGTGTTAATCTGTTATCTTGTGTCAAGTGTTAATCTGTTATCTTGTGTCAAGTGTTAATCTGTTATCTTGTGTCAAGTGTTAATCTGTTATCTTGTGTCAAGTGTTAATCTGTTATCTTGTGTCAAGTGTTAATCTGTTATCTTGTGTCAAGTGTTAATCTGTTATCTTGTGTCAAGTGTTAATCTGTTATCTTGTGTCAAGTGTTAATCTGTTATCTTGTGTCAAGTGTTAATCTGTTATCTTGTGTCAAGTGTTAATCTGTTATCTTGTGTCAAGTGTTAATCTGTTATCTTGTGTCAAGTGTTAATCTGTTATCTTGTGTCAAGTGTTAATCAGTGTTTTTATGACATGTGTTGATCTGTACTGCCATATCAAGTGTTGATCTGTACTGCAGCATCAAGTGTTGATCTGCGTTTCAGATGGACGCAAACTTTGATCTGCCAGAAAGACCTACATCAGATGGTGAGATGTTTTGCACAAATACTGTCTAATCTTTATTTTGTTCCATAACAGGATAGAAGAGGGAGAAAAGTCCAGCAAGAAATAAGTTACCTTGTCATCTCAAGATAGAAGAGGGAGAAAAGTTCAGCCAGCAATAATTTATCTTGTCATCTCAGGATAGAAGAGGAAGGGGGGGGGGAATAATTTTAAAAATCTGCATTTTTATAAACAAAACAAGTAAAGAATACTTTGTTCTTATAAATGCAATGCAGTGTGAGTGATAGCAACAAACCTGAGACATAAAAAACTTACAGTGGCGACGGTCGAAAGGTGTTTTAAAGAAAAGAAATGTAGCTATAGTTTGGCATACTAAAACACTACATCGGTCATGTGAAAATTCAAGAATAAAATCAGTAGTCCGGGGTAGAAAAGATAGAGATCTGGGAGAGAAAAGAAGAAACTCCAGCACATCAACAGGTGAAAACAAGATGCTGGCATCGTACAGAACACATTGAGAAGACTTGCTGTTAGTGTAATAGTTATGCTCTTGTAACTCAGTGGGCAGAAGAGACAGAAGAAGACCTATAAATACATAAAGAAGATAATTAAAGATGGTATTGACTAATATTAGAATGACATGTGAGCTAAAAGAGCTGGCAAAAGATACGGTGGCTTCGGAGGGTTGGGTGAGTGCTTATACTCCGAGGGTAGACTAAGAAGACCAACCACCAATAGACATTACTGGACAGATACTTGTCCAGGACCATGCCAACACCCTCTCACCTTACTCTGGACAACTGGTCACACACTTCCATCTGACTATGTCAACACCCTCTCACCATAATATGGACAACTGACCAGACACTTCTCTCGGACCATGTCAGCACCCTCTTGCCCTAATATGAACAACTGGTCAGACACTTCTCTCTCACCATACCAAATTTCTCTCACCTTACTGTGAACAACTGGTCAGATACTTCTCTCTCACCATACCAACATTCTCTTACCTTATTGTGGACAACTGGTCAGACACTTCTCTCTCACCATACCAAATTTCTCTCACCTTACTGCAGACAACAGGTCAGACACTTCTCTCTCACCATACCAACGTTCTCTCACCTTACTGTGGAAAACTGGTCAGACACTTCTCTCAGATCATACCAACATCCTCTCATGTTACTGTGGACAACTAGTCAGACACTTCTCTCAGATCATACCACAACAGATTTGAAATCCTGACCTATGCAGGTTTGCGCTGTTTGATTCTGAAAGCCGTCGTCATTGTGACTGAAAAGCTTTGCACATGGAAATTAAACTTCTTACTTGTCTGGAACAGTCAGAAACTGTGCACTGCCCACCCCACCCTTCTCGAGCCCTCCCCATTGTTTGTGATATTTATTCTGTTGAATTGTCATGGATGTTTTTTTCTCCCTGACAGATGCCATCAACTTAGCTAACCATCTGTTGAAACAGTTCCGTATCCCAACAAAGATTACCAAAGCTGAGGATATTAGTTCATCCCTGTTTGTTGTGTTGTACGAGTGTCTCTTTAGTGATCGACTTCCAGGTGAGAGTTCTTTACCACATTAATTAACATCTGGGTTTTTCCTGTCTTTTCCTTTCCTGTGGTGGTGTCTTTTTTGACAGCTGTCAGAACAACACTGGTGCAACTGTGCTTGTTTTTAGGCAAAGAGCGGTACAACTGCTCTTGTTCACAGCCAGTGTGTACAACTGCTCTTGTTTACAGCCAGTGTATACAACTCTTGTTTACAGCCAGTGTATACAACTCTTGTTTACAGCCAGTGTGTACAACTCTTGTTTACAGCCAGTGTATACAACTGCTCTTGTTTACAGCCAGTGTATACAACTGCTCTTGTTTACAGCCAAAGTCATACAATATCAGAACAGTGATGCATTGGATCCCTGGCTACTCTGTCATACCAGATAAAAACAGCTGACAGATTGGCAAAGAAAGGAGCAACACAAGAACAACCAGCCACAGCGGCAACCCTACAGAGAACAAAAGCACTTATAAGAGCTTTAAACTTCTTCTTCTTCTTCTTCTTCTTCTTCTTCTTCTTCGTCTGTTTGCTTGAAATAAATTATGTATATCAGCAGTGTTGTCTCTAGTATGAACTTCACTGTCTTTTGTAATTCACTCAGTGACCCGTGAAGTTTGACTTGCACCGATGTTTCTCTTGGCCAAACGTTTTGCCTTGAAATGTTGTATTTGTGACAGTCTTGGAGGACATGATCTGTTGTCTCAGGTGCCAATCCACAAGTGCACATGGCTGAATTGCCAATTTCAAATTTTGTGTAGAACTGTAAACAAAGAGACTTGGCTGAACAGATGGTCCATATGAGATACTGGAAGAGAGGTTTGCAGACATATTGCTGGCCCTGATCTCAACGACAGCATCAACCATCTAACAAGGAGGGACCAGGCCACCATCTTCAGCCTCAGAATAGAACATTTTTCTACTCACTGGGCATCTAAACAGAATACAGCCACAACATTCCTCAGTGTGCCAGCTATGTAACTACCCCTACTTAACTGTTGACAATCATCTCTGCCTCAGTTAACAGACAAATAGAACACCTTGTACAGAGGAAAAGAACAACTTGTGAAAACATGTAAATTCCACCTCATGGCATTGGGCCGAAGGGCGACAGCTCATGGGCAGCTGGATCGATAACAGTAACACAGCCAAAGTTATAGAAGGTGACAGAGACAGTTTTGTTGATGGGTGTGATGCCATCATCAGATAATAGCTTGAAGGATATCGTTCTAAGAGCAACATGTTTTGGTGAAGGACAGGGTTGTCAATGCCAGCTGATCATTTACATACATTAGTGTGTGAACGTTCTCTCTCTCCTGCGTTTGTGGCCATTTGTAATCTTGCTCCCTGGGAAATTGTAGTATCCGTCATCAGTTGTTTGTTTTAACATGATCATTGATGGGCTTAGTATTCCCCTTTGACTTTTGTTAGTTGCGATTGGCTTTGTCTGTTGACATTGCTTCTGTCTTCTCAAATGTCAGTGTTTGCCATCTCTGTTGACATTGCTTCTGTCTTCTCAAATGTCAGTGTTTACCATCTCTGTTGACATTGCTTCTGTCTTCTCAAAGACAGAGTTTGCCATCTCTGTTGACATTGCTTCTGTCTTCTCAAATGTCAGTGTTTGCTGTCATTGCTTTTGTCTTTTCCAGTAATATTATTTGCCTCCTATTGACATTGTGTCTGCCTTGTTTAATGACTTCTGTTTGGCCTCAATGGTGAGGACTGCAGAGAAAACTCAAGCCTGTGTAGACGAATGCTGTATAGAAGATAAATGTACCAGCCAAAAGGCAGCTTGCAGTATTGAACATAATGTAACCATTTGTTTCATAGAAAACACAAACAGACTACCCTGTGTAGTACAAATATGAATCTTATCCTATAATATTAGTCTTTTTAAGTAACATTGTTCTGATATTTCTCCAGATGTTATTCGTCATCCTGTTTCAAAGGATGATGAAATCCACAACTGCCAAATTGTTATCGATGTTTTGTCTAGCGATGTGATCCATGACAGCCTTAGCCATATCCGAGGAGTGGATATTGTGGCCGGAGATTTGACTGCAATCTTTAACCTGCTCGATATCTTCTCACACCTCTTGGAATACGTCCTGAACAAGATTGAAAGTGATCATGAAGGTAAGCACTCACAGAATTTATTTTCATCCTGGATGGCCATCATAGATGATGGTACAGTGATAACATCCTCCTCTTCTTCTTTGCCACACTCACTGGCTGTAACTTGGTGGAAAGTTCTGGTTGTTTGACCACCTGATCAAGTGAATTGTCCAGTGGAACAGACTGACTATTATCCTCAAAAGACTGATTCTGTGGGGAGTAGGCAGTGTGTCTGGACCGTTGTCATCATAGAAAAGAGATGTGGACTTTTAGTCAGGTTCTGACTGGCACCATCAGTATGGGAACTCTTTATTTCTACTGAGAATATGGACAGAGCACTTGTGGGAACACCAGAATGCAGTTGATGTCAGTTCTTGATTGATTCATCCATTTAAAAAAAAAAAACATTCATTCTCACTGTTTTTTTTTTCTTTCAATTCATTGTTCGTTGATGAATACTAGCATTGATAGCACAGTATGTTGAAGAATATTTTTATTGTTTTGTTTTTCTTCAAATATCTGTGAAAAATGTGTGACATCTTTGTAATAGTTTGAATTGTTTTTCCCCTGTTTGGGTTTGGGGCACTTGTGGGATAGGGCGGGATAGAATATACCTGCTGCTCCATAACAGACATGTCATTAAAGTCAACCAATTAGAGGCTTGAGATTGAATGTCTTGGGCCAAAAAGTGTGGATGTGTCACAGCCTAGCTGTCAATCACAACACAGCCTAGCTGTCAATCACAACACAGCTTAGCTGTCAATCACAACACAGCCTAGCTGTCAATCACAACACAACCTCATCTCCAAAATCCTAAAAATAAGTCATGGTCCCAGAAATTTGTGGGGAGAAGTCCGTTAAAAAGCAAGGATGTTATACAGTCATCAATGCATTGAAACTTATTTATTTATCTACATTGAAGAACAATATAGGAATAGTAAATAAACACATAGTCAAGCTTTAATTGGAATACATTACCTGGGGCCTACAAATACCTGTATCAGGTGACTCATGCCTTGACTTCTATCTCTGAGGTTTATGGGAAAATTTGATTTCTTTGTGGCTTGTAAAAAGCTATTTTATTTACAGGGAACCACCTCCCCCCTCTTCCCCCCCCCCCCCATTTTTTTATTTTTGTGTAATATATTAGTATCATGACCTCCTTAATGTTTACGAAGCACAAACACCCAATAACATTAACTTTGCATCGTGTAAACATTTCAATCTAGGAAAGTAAATTCAGTGACTTTGGGGTGGGGGTTGGGGGGGGGGGGGGGGGGGGGACCCGACAGGAAGTGTTGGTTTTGTGGCTTCTCAGGGCAACACAGTTGAGAAAAAAGAAGAAGAGATATAATGTACGTTTGTTCCATTTCTGCTGTTAATAGTAAGTAAATGAACAAACCCTTGTTTCCTGATGCTAATGGCGCATTGGTGTCATCAATGTCTTGACAATATATCAGCATGTTTGTTTACACAGGGCAAACAATGACTTGTGTTTCAGATACAAAGTCTGTACGTAGTCTAGAGACTAACTCTCAGGCCTCAACACCCTCCAGGAGAGCTGCATCTGTCAGCTGCAGGAAGCTTCCCCAAGGAATCATCGCTCAATCTGGCAGGTAACTTGTTTCACTTTTTGTGTGTCCATTTGTCATGTACTGACTTGGATGTTGTGTTCTTGTCCTAGATGTCATGTACTGACTTGGATGTTGTGTTCTTGTCCTAGATGTCATGTACTGACTTGGATGTTGTGTTCTTGTCCTAGATGTCATGTGCTGACTTGGATGTTGTGTTCTTGTCCTAGATGTCATGTGCTGACTTGGATGTTGTATTCTTGTCCTAGATGTCATGTGCTGACTTGGATGTTGTGTTCTTGTCCTAGATGTCATGTGCTGACTTGGATGTTGTGTTCTTGTCCTAGATGTCATGTGCTGACTTGGATGTTGTGTTCTTGTCCTAGATGTCATGTGCTGATTTAGTTTTCATGTTGTGTTCTCAAGTGTCATGTACTGACTCAGACTGAACAAGCTGTACCAACAGGTTCATTTTTCTCCATTTACAGAGCAGAGACAGGTGCACCCTTGCTGGCATGGTTTTTTTTGTTTTTTTTAAACAGGCAGTATCACAGCAGACATAGCAGAGTGGTCTTTCTGACTGTTATATGTCAGTTCTACTAGCAATTGTTAACCTTAAAAGGCACATGCAGTTTGTAGACTTGCACAACAGCTGATTCACTTGGGCTCTTCAGTAAAACTGTCCTGCGGTGGATTCCAGGTCACTGTGGCTTGGAATGAAATAGCTGATAGACTGGCACAAGTGGCAGTGAAATGGTACAATCAAATAGTGACTTATTCCACTAAGAAACTAAGACATTAATACAATCTAGTATCCAAGAAAGGTGGCTGGATACCCACACCCTATTTTCTCCTCAAGACTCTCTTCATCATCTCTCTAGAGAGGTACAGTGTACTATATATATTCAGACTAAGGACAAAGCATAACTGACTTCCCCAACATATGTTCAAAATTTGTCTGTATAGGAAACATGGAGATGTATCCCTGCAACTTGGCACCAGATAATGCTGAGCATGTGCTTCAACATTGTTAACTGTATACTTCTAACGGAGAAGCAGTTTGGCCTATTCAGAACTCAGTGAAAACAAAACTGTATGTACGTAACATGATTTAAACTGCACAATAGCTTTCATAAAGGCTACTGGCCTCCTGGTAAATGTTTCCTGACAGAAGGTTAAACAAAGAAAATTTTAACATTTATGTTTTTCGGATGCTGTATGCTGATTCAGATGTCACATTTTAACTACATATACTGTAGGACCTCGCTTAACGAGCACCTATCATAACGAGTAATTCGCATAACGAGCAAAAAAAATTTGTTAAAGAATGACTTGCTTAACGAGCGGCATTTCGCATAACGAGTGGCGATAAGAGGGGAATTCACGGATTGTGCGCATGTCTGTGTTTAGCACTCGTTCCAGTAGCATCGTAGTGTCATCTGTGATCACACATTTTCTCAAACTTTTTGTTATATTGTGATACTAGCTGTACCTGGCCAGGCGTTGCTGTGGCCCAGAATGGTGAAATGGAGAGGAAAGAAAATAGCTCTCAGCTAACAGTGTCTGTCATACCCCCCTCCCCTCTCGACACAGTCATATCTCCCTCTCCGAAGGACTGAAAAATCATCTATGGCGAAATAATTAAAATAGAAATAGTTAAGACATGAGAACTTTAAAATAATATTTTAAGCTCTCTCAGCTAACTGTCTGGCATAAACCCCCCCCCCCCCCCCCCCAAATCATATCATCTTTTTTAAAGGATGGGAGAATCACCGTGTAACAAACTATTGTAACTTAATTGAGCTTGGCATCCGTGTCCACCCAGACATAAATAGGTAGCATTAACTTGTACAGAGAAGTAAATGTAGCCAGTGTAACAGCTACCACATCACCCATCCGGTACCAGTACTACTGCAACCACTACCACCACCACCATCACAACAACAACAACAAAAACTGTCTCTACAGTCTGTGTAGGTCAGTGTAGAAATGAGGAGTTAGTGCTGCATGCTGTCGCCACGGGCTATTTAGTTTAATTATGCCCCCGACATAGGAAAAAAAACTTCATCACATAACCAGTGATGGAACCCATAGTGAAAAGTACACTATGCTCACGAATGGCGGAGAAAAATACCCAGCACCCGTCATCTCTCCCTCTCCGAGGGAGCGATTTTTAACTGACCTTGGCATCCGTGTCCACCCAAACTAAACTGGACTGTAAGCTGTCTTAGTTAACAGTTTCTGTCATCGCGGAATAGTTTTTGATCGAGAAGCGTCACGGGGAGGCTAATTAGGACTTAACTGAAATCGAATGTCTGCGAAAGGCGCAGATATTACAGCCTAGCTGTAAACCACAACACAACGTCGCAACCACCCTTTTAAGGAAAAAAGAACAATTATCATCCAGCGGGGAATCGAACACCTGTCACCCGCATGTAAGATTACATACTTACAACAGTACTACCGACGACTGAAGAGTTTAGGTCAGATATCGCAGCTTAGCTGTAAACCACAACACAACGTGCCAGCGGCCCTCTCGAGGGCGAACAAAGATTACCCGTGACATGACCATTGAGCATCACGTCGCCGCTGTCGCAGACTAGCTGTAAACCCCAAACCGAAAAAGGCGTAGATATCCCAGCCTAGTCATAAACCACAACACAACGTGTCAGCCGCCCAGTTAAGGGCTAAAAATAAAATTATTTCACCTAGCTGGGAATCGAACTCGGATCACAGAATAGCTACCAAACACTCAAGCACATAGTGGAAATGAAATTATATAATAATGTAAAGTTCAATAAGAGCTCAGCAGTCAAATATGACCAATTAACTAAAAACAAATCCAGACCAGCAACGAAACAAATAATGATTTGACCGTTGCCTGAGCTACGTTGTTCGTGGTTTGTGCGATTTTCAGACAAAAAATCACGCTTGGAGTCAAAGGCAACGTTGTGTGCAAATTTGAAAGCAATCGGTTCAGTAGTTTTTGAGTTTTTAGCTAACAACATCGGAAAATAAATATTTTTATTAATATAGATATGTACATGAATCCTCCAGGCCTACAAGATGACCTCCCTGAAGAATTTAAGTTCATCAAGATCCAGTTTCTGCCTCCCAACACCACTCCGTTACTCCAGCCCATGGGCCAGCAAGTTATTTCTAACTTTAAGAAGCTCTAAATTAAAGCACTCTTCGAGCATTGTTTTCAGGGTACTGAAGGGACCAACCTTACTCTCAAAGAGTTTTGGAAAAATCACTTCCACATCGTTGCCTGCCTCAAGATGATCAACAAGGCGGGGGGAAGGGGATTACCAAGAAGAGCTTTGTTGAATGTGACTTTGAGGGGTTTGAGACAGTACCTGTGGAACCTGTAGTCAACGAGATCGTGTCTTTGGCCACTATCATGGGATTGTAGGTGGTGATATCGAAGAGCTTGTGGAAGAGCACAGCCAAGAGCTGACCACCGAAGAACTTATGGGGTTGCATTGTGTTTCACATGGTAAAATAGACACAGAGATCGAAGCAAGAATCCAACAAGCCAACAATGTCGCATACCAGCTTTCCCCAATTTTAAAACACCCTGCTGTCCCAGCTGAGATAAAAAGACAAATTATAAATACAATCTTTATACTGACATTAGGTTATCAATGTCAGACTTGGACATTAACAAAAGAACACGAGAGAAGACTAACCACCTGTGAAATGAGATGTTTGAGAATGGCTGCGAATAAAACCAGAAGAGATCGAGTGAGAAACGATGTGATTACAAGAACTATTGGAACCATACCCATCTTTAAATTTATTGAGAAGCAAAGAATGAAATGGTTTGGTCACCTAATGAGAATGGAACCAACGATGCCAGCATCAAGAGCATACAACATGAAAATCGAAACACCAAGAGGCAGGGGAAGACCAAGAAGAAGATGGATTGAAGGAGTCACTGACAACTTGAGACTTCATAACATCACGGCATATGATAGACTGCGACGCCTAGCGGCACAAGCAGATTTTGACAAAAGATGAAGAAGAAGATAGTGTTTCACAGCAAGAAGTTTTAGAGAAAAGTTTGTCAGCGGAGGAGGCAATAACAGAAAAGCAACAATCTTCTAGCGAATTAAAGAAATTCTGAAAGCATGGAAAACTGTTGCATCTTACATTGAGAAGCATCACCCTAATAAGGAAGTGGCTATGCGTGCTGCAAATTTATTAAATGATAATGCTGTGTCGCATTTTTCGCCAAATTTTAAAGCGTCGGCAAAAACAAATCTCTCTGGACATCTTTGAAAAAAAATAATTATCTATTTATCATAATTATTTAGACTTTTTTCTTTCTGCAAATCGAATTCGCATTTCATTTCCATTCCATTCGCTTTCCGCATTTAAAGAAAAGATGAAAATGATTCACTCTCCTTAATAATATGTATATAATTTTCTTTGAACAAATGTTATACATAGAATTTTGTTAATATTTTTTCGACACGGAACACATTATCATATTTTATATTAATTTGTATGAGAAAAATTGTTTCACATAACGAGTGTTTCGCTTAACAAGTATCATTTTGGAACGAACTGTGCTCGTTAAGCACTGTATTGATAGAAATGGTCTGTTAATCTACAACACAGTTTAAACAAAGTTAGTTAATTGATAGAAATGGTCTGTTAATCTACAACACAGTTTAAACAAAGTTAGTTAATTGACAGAAATGGTCTGTTAATCTACAACACAGTTTAAACAAAGTTAGTTAATTGACAGAAATGGTCTGTTAATCTACAACACAGTTTAAACAAAGTTAGTTAATTGATAGAAATGGTCTGTTAATCTACAACACAGTTTAAACAAAGTTAGTTAATTGACAGAAATGGTCTTTTAATCTACAACACAGTTTAAACAAAGTTAGTTAATTGACAGAAATGGTCTGTTAATCTACAACACAGTTTAAACAAAGTTAGTTAATTGATAGAAATGGTCTGTTAATCTACAACACAGTTTAAACAAAGTTAGTTAATTGACAGATTTCCTCCTTGCACTTTGGACAAGTCCA